ATATATATATATATATTGTTAAATCTGCAACATAACAAGTCATTTTAAGTATATTTTAAGTTAAAAATTTAAATAAATTGCTTCTCTCTAACCAAGAGTAATTATCATGAGTCAGTTATAATGTCCCTGATTAAGGGCACTAATATATATATATATATTCATTTTTGCTCCAATAAGACTGTTGTCCTGCTACCCACTCTTTCCTGGATCCCACTGTACATGCCATGCCCTACCCACTTGATGCCCCACATGCTCTCATCCATCCACCTGTGACGGACATGGGATGGGTGTGTATGGTTAACTACCTGCCAGGAGCTGGAGGGGATCTCTGCGAATTTGCCCAGTCCCCCGAAGGTGTAGCATCGGTACATGTGATCCAGAGACTCCGAGCAGTGCCACAGCAAGCCGAAGCTCACGGAGTCCTTGGTGTTGGCGTGGTGGTGCGGGTGCTGGTGGCTGTTCCTCAGCTGGTCCTTAACAATCCAGGCAGGAGATATGAAGCTGAAACTGCAGACGGCGACCAGAGCGGAGGAGAGGAGCACCCAGAAGCAGCCCACACAGCTGAACATGGTGGCAGCTTGGGGCAGAAAGCCCGGAGACAGACCCAGATCGATCCCAAACCCGACTTCTTCTTCTTTCTTCTCCCGGCCCAGGAGCGAATGCATTTGGAGCTCACGCCTTCAAGACTTCAACTTCAGCCGCTGACCAGCAGCACTACATCAGCAAACAAATCACTGGACATCCGCAGCAGCAGCCCCGTGTGCGTGTGTGTGTGTGTATGCATGTGTGTGTGTCCAGAACATCTGGGGCTGGACAGGGGGAAAAAAACACTAAGAAAACGTCCAAAACACATCAGCAGGAGGAGTGATGGTGACACAATAAAGTCAAGTCATCCGTGCCTTCACTCCGCCTGGAAAAATGCCCAAATGTGACACACACGCACAAGATGTTTGTCACACCCAGAAGTGGATGCGCAGTTGTCATAGCAGAGCACTTTCACTCAGAGACACAAACACAAACACAAACATGTCCTGGAGCCGCTGGTGTCCTCCGCTCCTCTCAAGGCACTTGCTCTGCCTCAACACGGACGGCAGCGCACTTTGCGTCTCAGAAAGAGAGCGCGTCTGGACAGCGTCAAGCTCACTGCGGTTAATACGACTTCCGGGTGGGATTTTCAAAGTTAGATTCCGTAAGAATCTGCGAGATTTGAGGGTGTGTGTCCCAGAGGCTTCACAGCAACACAAAGAATACATTTAAATATGTATAACTAAAGGGATACTACACCGATTTTACACATAAATGATTGTAAAATGGTGGTCAGTTGGATTTTATCTTTTTTGCATTACTTCAACATCAAACACTGAAACTGCACCTTATACTAAAACTGGATGCAGTCACAAAAATTTGAGTTCCATAAAAAATATTGTTTCTCTTCTTTACTCAACACGTTTTTTCTCCTGCCAGGTCCGCCACAAAGTGGAGCACTTGTATGAGATACGCCTTATATGTCAGACCTGTACTGCCTCTCATGAGTTAATATATAGAGCATCATTCAAAAAAGTTTCATAATTTAACATTTTTAAAAATGGAATATGGGCTGATTGTAGTATACTGTATTGGTTGCATTATGGGGAATTAAGAATCCAGTGTTCTGGGGCTTGACCCATAGCCCAAAAAGGGATTTAAAGTCAGGATATGCTGCTTCTATTCTGATTCTTTTGTTTTAATGTGTCTATTGTGAGTCCCCACACCTTGTGAAAGTGCAATACTAGACTGCTGAAGTAACCCTTTAAAATGTAATTCATATGTTCTGTAATGTCTCATTGGGCCACACGTCTCATTCACAGTGTACCACATATGGATATACAACTACATACTCAATCAACAGGAACAACTGGCCTCATTGGGACAGTGTGGACCAGATGTGGCCATCATCCGGTTCTGTTCGACTCAGGTTGACTGATCACTGTCATTCTGTGCCGTATGAGGAAGGAGAAAGTGGGAGGTGTGGGTTACAACTATTGACAGTATATATGGCCACAACTGGGATATGTCAGATACCATATTTAATTAAAACCTACCTAATTATCCCATGACAATTTATAGATCATATCAAATAATTTAGCATGGTGTGTGAATACACCCTAGCCTATCAACATCAGCAGGTTAAAACAGGTTGAAAAAGTGGATGTAAACATTATCCAGGTGGCAGATTTTTGGCGCACACCCACAACAACACGGCCAACACATAAAGTGACTTTACCATTGGTGGGAAATATGTTTTTGTTTGTGCCTGTGGTCGCAAATCCTTTGAGACTCCTTTGTTTACTTTTATTCTGAAGGCAAAAACTCCATTTTCCGGTGTTTTGCATAGTTTTTTCAACTTGACAGAAAGGCGTCTGTCCGCGGGTACTAGTGCACTTTGTCACTTTGTTAATGCACAGTGTTATGAGCACCGATACGGCTTTCATAAAGACAGCGATGATTGTAATAAAAACAGTATATGGAATTATTCTTTGAACACTTTTTAATCTCAGTGAAATTTTTTTCTCCCCCAAAACAAAACACTTCCCAGCATCGACATGTACAGACAAAGTGACTGTTGTTGTATTTATTGTTGCACAGATACAGGTCTGTGTTATTGTAACAAACGATAGCCAATCAGAGCTCAGGACGAGGACTGTCCCTTCGTATTGAGGTGGGCGTTGCCTCTGCACGTGCAGGTAGCCTCGGTCTGGAAACCACAATGAGCTCGTGAAGCTTCAGTAGTATGCAGCAGCACTGTGAAACAGCACGTTGCCATTTAACCAGTTCGTAAGTAAAATAGTTATCACACTGATTAGCCTCAGGAGCAGGATAGCTGTATCTTTAAAATACACACAATGGAATTAAATTCACTACAATTCAAATCCGGTTATTGTGAACAATACGCACAGAGCTGCTATTATACTGCACCGCTGTGGTTACTACTGCACACAGGGAGAGGTCACTACGACACTGACAGCTGGAGATGAACATCTTAAATGCTTTATACTGTACTGGAGGTGACTTTGAGCCCTTTAGGTTGAACTGTACTTTATCATTTTTGTACCTGTACTTATTCTAATGTCAGAAAATAATATAGTGTCATCAATTTTTCTCTTTTACCCTAACACAGCAATACAGTCAACATCGCCCCCACCTGGTCAGAGGTGATAATAGTCCACCCTAAAGCTGTTGGCGCTAGGCTTGTCACTTTCCCACACTTTATTGATGATAAAAACCAATGTGCCTGTAAAACAAGACATTTTTCTGTATCAAAATAACTACAGCCTGCAGCGGGCTAAAAAGCGCAAATTCTTACAAACACTTTAGCTAAAATATGTTAAAGAAGGAAAAAAAAAAAATGAGGACAGACAAAAACATTTCATAATATATGTATTTCAATCAAACACAATTTAAATATATTATAGATTAAGTACACGTACATGTCAGAAAACATTAGTGGTACATAGTACCAAGAGTCTTTTCTGGTTCTTTTCTACATCATGGTAAGGCTCAAATAAAAAAAAAAAAAAGTTTAATTCACTGAGCACACTTTCCAGTTGAACAGTCCGGTCATCACTGACAGTTGTTTCAGTGATGCATTTAAAAAAAAACAGCGACCACCATAAAAAAGGACTAACATTAATATATGGGGTAAACCAGAAATCTACATATATTTATATATATATATATATATATAGAACATTTAGGACATGGAGTTTTCCAACACAACTGGAGCACTTAAGTCCATTAGGGGAGTATTTCTTCTTCTACGCTCTGTAAAGGTGCCAGGAGGTTCATATAGGAGGTCAGACAGTTCAAGAACTGAATCAGCTTTTCTTCTGTTTCATTGTTGCATTTCCAGATGGTCTACAGTACGTAAAACAGCCAACGAAGGACGGCTCACATCAGTGAACAGCAGACAAAACTACTCCAGGCAGGCTGAGGGAAGCGTATGCAAAAACTGTACAACGCTGATTTTGATCTGCTTAAGCCTTAAGTGGCCGACCTTTAAGAGAGAATTTCATCTAAAAACAAGGAATGGTTATAAAAGGTGTGGGGAGGTGTTTCATGAGGGAGTGCGGTTAGTTTAGTCTTTATCACCTCCTCCATAGGTCCGGGATAAGACATTTTTCAGACAGTATGGCTACAGCGACTCAGTGATCGACTGACATGTTGCTCCTTCCTCCAGCATCATGTTGACCGTTTCCTTCACCAGGAGTGTCTTCCTCCAGTCTGAAGCAAGCTCTGGGCTTTGCTTTGCTTTTGGTGACTACAAATGTACCTTTATAGTGTTATGGAGTTGGAAGATTGGAACAATGATGTACTTCAACTTTTTCCATTAGCCCATGCGTGAACAATCACTCACCCAAGCTCACAGCCACATACATACATACACACACACACACACACACACACAAGGTGGTTGGGGAGCTGATAAAATGCCTTGTTCGTTCTCAGAGTAATGCAGTTCATTGTAGGGTGAACCCTGTGTACAGTTTGTCACTGGCTTGGCCAGCGTCTGCAGGGAGTGACAGTCCTTTGGTTCCTCAGTGGGGTCATAACTGCAGACAGACAAAAGAAAACACTTAGAGAAGACCTGCAGTGATTCCACACATCGCCACACAGGAGAGAGACTACTGAGGGACGTTTTGTACCTTGGTGGCCTTGCCAGGGCTGTCATGGTTTGACTGGTGGACGACGTCGTTGACAATCATCTTGGCAATCTGCCATGCCATCTCCTCCTGGGCCTGAGGGAAAGAGACACAACAATAAGAGATTTCACAGCAGACTTTTATTGATATTCTTCATCAAATCAGTGAATTTGATCAAGGGCCTTGCGATGGGCCTCAGACCACTGAATCATTTATGAATATTTTAACACCTTGTGGCCTCACCTCATCCGAGTTGCCTTGGACCCATTTCTTCATTGCTTGAGAAAACATGGAACCTAAATGAGAAAATACGGAAGGCTGAGTGAGGCAAAGTGACTGCATCAGTGAGCACAAATTCATGAATTAATCTGAACAAATAAAGTGCTTTAAACTGCAGGATAATTTGACTTTCTCAAGGTGAGTTAATCCTGACATAGTCTAGTCCGAGAGAAAGCACTCTTAGATTTAGTATGTTGTTATATCTAAAGAGTAGTGGAAGCTTTTCTTCTTCCAAAAGGGAATGGCTCTTAAATATTTTAAAAGGCTTTGAGCTGTGAGGAGAATGGGAGCAGCCACAAGATGAGGTTTATATTCATGGGCACAGAGTAGATGTTTTTCACTGCAAGGAGAAATGAGTTAAAATATGACAGAGTGAGGGCAAAGAACATCATGAGACAGAGAGCGCCTAACAGGTAGAAGAGAGAGAAAGAGACAAGTGTGAGTATATCATGCCTTTGGATTTCTTCACGTCTGGCTCTGGCTCTGCCTCCCTGATAAACTGGCCCATCTCATTCACCTTGCCAAACGTCATCTTTCTGAGGGGACGGAGGAGAGGAGACAACGGAAGACAGCAGACTGTAAATGAAAATGTACTGCAAATGGGACAAAACTGAGCCTCAGGCACACACACCACATCAAACACCGCTGTGTGCGTGTGTCCGTTCGGTAACTACAATTCAAATTGTCTTTCAATAACATTCTCTTGAATTATCTTTGTACAGAATTTTTCAAAGCACGCTCATAAAACACTTGACGAGGGAGTCAATAAAAACAGAACAGATACATCCGATCCAAACGACAGTGTGAGGCAATAAAAGGAACGCAAAAGGAGAGAAACATCAACGTAAAATACAACAAGGGAACTCGATGGGAATTTACCAAAAGATAAATTAGATAACAGCAAACATGTGAAAAGTACATTTTAAAGAGAGTATTGAAAAAAATTTTTAAAGCCAGAGTGGTAGTTTAACCCCCAGATATAAATCACATACTGTAACATTTTTAAAACACCAGTAGGTTTAGACTAATTTCTGATACTTAAGGCAGCCACTGGTTTCCATTTATTTCATAAAAGAGAAAGAAACGTCCGTCTGTACCCATGTGAAAGTAAAGGAACATTAGTCGCACAACACTCACCCAGCGTACGGCCGCTGGTACAAAGACTCAGGGTCCAGGCTGGCAACGTCCACCGTGATCGCCTCGTCAAAGTTTTTCAGAATCTTGATGGCTGCCTTTCTGGAACCATGCTGTAGTGACATGTTTGACAGTGTTACAGGTAACATTTGTTATTTCTTTTCTATGAAGACAACTAAAAGACAGGAATGATCACAACCCTTTGGCATTATATATCTTCATTATTCATGTAACGAAGCGGAACAGGTCTAAATGTCAGCAGACAGGAGAACATCCCCACAGGGGCTGAAGATGTGGGTTAAAGTCGTGGTTCACCTGAGACTGGGAGACCTCGCTGGCATTTGAACTTGTACGATCGTTGTCCGCGGGCCCGCCCTGACCTGGAGTGCTGACATTCACAAACTCATCTGCCCGCACCGAGTTGATGAGGTCACTCAGGTATTTGTAGTAAAGGTTGCTAGACAGGAAGCCTGGCATGTAGACCTGAACAAATGCAAAATACAGAGAACTCTGTTAGGGAATAATGAGCTCCTTGAAATATTTCTGGGCAAAGGTTACAAAGGTTTGTTAGTGACCTTTATGCGCTAACAACAGCATTCAGCTTTCATCTCATTAACTTAAAGCAGGTACATTTGTATGTAGTATAACAGGACAAGTCAGTCAGTGGTCAGTGACTTACAACACAAAACCTTTAGTAGGATCCTAAAAAAAATATCTAATTAAATGTTTTAAAGGGCAAGAGTTTTTCCATTTCTGTTTCAGGGTGCTTTATTTTACATATCTGAACATTCTCTATTTCCGACCACAGTAAAAGAGCATAAGAGGAGACCCATAGTGAAAATGATGAGCCCTTGGTGTGCGGCCATTTGAGAATCTGACCTTCTCCATGGTCGTCCAGGCCTGTCTGAGTGGAGTGGTGAAACAGTCCGGGAGTGGCCCTCCCTCTCGGCAGATATTCGACTCTATCTCCATCCGCACAGAGTCGCCAAAGCCCAGAGGGTTGGTGGCCTGGAGTGAGAAATACCTGGAGAGGAAATAGAGCGATGAACAATCAGATGAAGGCAACTATATTAAGATTTGAATGAAAACTCAAATGAAATACAGAAGAAACCTTGAGAATGTTACTGAAGTATCTTAAAATGAGGCTGTATGGCTGCTGCTCCATATAGAGATGTTGCTTGGTACTGGGAAACTTTAAAAAGGAGATGAAGCAGGTAGGACTATATCCAGAAAAGGTGGCATTAATGAATTATTATGCTCTCTTTGAGTTCCCTGCTTCACTGAGTCTATCACAGAGCTGATTATTAACTTTTAACTGTTCCTGTTCAGCTACGAGCATGTTCATATATGTCAGAATAGAATAAGAAGCTGTAGAAATGATTTCCGAATATTCAAAAAGTAGGGCTAAGGCTATAAACAACTGGGTCTTTTGTATAAAATGAGTATTCCTTTGTTAGATGATGAACAATCCATTATGAATATGCGAGGTACACGATAGAGATAAAAGTAATGTACGACTGTTTCTGCTGCCGAAGCAGAGAGGGGGAGATAAGAAGTTAATGCCTGATAAGGTCTGTCCGCATTTATAATAATGGCAGCTAATTAACAGTGTGGGTTACTTTTCATTAAAGACAACCGAGGGTATGATTTTTATTTCAAATTATCATCACAAAGTCACGTCATCTTATTCTGCAGTGATGTGTGATGTGAATGTAAGCTCTTTTGTCCATGTTGGAATCCTGTAGGAATGAAGACTGTTCCAGTGCTCTGATTGGTCAGTGGTTTGATTTACATACTCTTTAACCAAGAACGAATACTGATAAATATATCTTTTTTAAAATCATTATAACTCAAGTGGATGGCCACACTGCAACGGCGAACGTTATCGTTGGGATCACTTTCAGAGCGATTTGATGAACGATATTGTTACTTAATAGATCTTTAATGATGTCCTCTTTTTTTTAAATCAGGGTGCGAATAACATTTGTCTTGTGTTGGATTTTCCTATCTCTTCTTGTCTTTGAAGAACAGTGTGAACCCATATCTTTCTGGTTTTCCTTTTGTTTCTCTGCACAACATCCAGCAGTAACAGCTCATCAGTAACTTTATCCATTTCCCCATTAAGCTGTAGACACAGCTGGAGTGCGCAGTGCGTGCTTGGTCATTATAGTTATTTTTCTTGGTGTGGACAGCCCTTTAGCCGCGCAGCATAGGTTACCATAGTGAACTACCTCGGTGAAAGTGATCCTGCTTTGTTATACTGGACCTTTGTGAAACACAGACTACTGGCAAACTTATGTTATTTATAACTGAAACATTAAACTGAAATGGGAAGTTGTGTAAGGGAAAGGAATAATTTCACAGAGATAAAAATAAAGCAAAACCATTTACCTCTAATAATTCCAAGAAAATGGTCGATATAGGTAAAACAGTATCACTGGGTGAAACTGTCAAACTCACTGGGGATGTTACTTTTATAAGAAAAGATATATTCTGAGACTGAGTAGACTTGACGATTTTTAGATAGTGGCAACTTCTAAGTATCAAGTCAAATCCATTCTTTACACAGAAAAAAAAAAGACTTGGGGGTTTTGGAGGATTGCAAAGAAGCTGAGAGAAGTCATACTTGTCGTAGAGGATCATGGCATCATTTTGAGCCTCCTGGCCGTCATACTGGCCCTTTTTAGCTGCAAGCTGGTTCTGGAAGTTGTCTGCCGCCAGCCAGAACTGCAGTACATTCATCGCCTCCTCCTTTTCCATGTACTGCAGGGAAGGACATAGAGAGAGCACAGGTTTGAAGATTTACTGTATGTCCTGTGTATATGCGGACCAAGAAAATCTGTTATAAATGTTTACTCTGACAACCTTTAGCCATCTTGAGTTCTGGTGTAAACTGTAATTTTTGCAACAGGTTGGGAGATTATAAAGGAAGCATCCATAGGCTTTTTTGTGTGTTGTTTTATGTTTACTGTGTCCTCAATTTATTGCAGCTGTGACAATCGAATTTCCCTCTAGAAAATATAAACAAACAAACCTAGAACCTATTTTGCAGTAGTAGCAAGAGAGGACCAGTGTATAATGAAGAGTTAAGGAGAGCCACAATTTGTATGTGAAAGGAAGAAAAAAAGGTTTAATAGCATCGGTGTAGAAATGGGTTTATAATGAGACATCAATCATGTTTTGGGAAAACACTCACCTCAGAGAAGTAGAAGAGAGCTGACTCACAGAACAAGATGTCAGCCAGGAACACGGAGCCACTAGTCAACACTTCAATCTGGTATTTACAAAAATGATGGCTCCGCAGGAATTCACTAAAGTGCCTGGAAATGAAATAGCAAGTGGGAGATGAATAACAGCCGCTACTGTGGATGTCAAGGTGGTAAAATGACAAAAGGACACTAGTTGCACTTTAATCTTAGTGTCAAAACATGGTGGTGGGGAAACGTCGGCGTGTGAGTATTAACTTCTCTAGAAAATGAATAGACAGAAACTCACTGTTGCTCCAAGATGGTGAGGACCACCGACTGTGCAATGACAAAGCAGTTTGGGTCCACCATGCCATCCTCTCCACATATCTTAGCTGCACAGAGGAAAGACGGGAGCGTTAATGTACTAGGGAAAATCATTCAAAGATGGATGACTTATGTACATGAAATATGTTGTCTGATTTTTAAAGATGCAATGATAAATAAGAAAAGATAATAAAATTACCAACGATGTCGTTTCTGATTTGTTCTGTGATGGGGATGGGCCTCACAGCGTCTGGAGAGATGTACTTGGTGAAGATGGTAACTGCATCTTTCTCTATACCTGAAATACACAAAACAGCTGTTGATCCAGTGATGTTACAAGGCACATAGGAGTGACGTTTTTCTGGCCTCGTTCAGCTGAAGAAGGATATTAGAATCCCTCTGCCGTCAGCCAGACAACTAGGCAAACAGTATGGACAGCAGGGACAGCTACAGCAGCCCAATAAACCCTTCAACGTACAAATGAAAAAGTCTTGTAAAAAAACTGCAAAAGACAACTGTGAATCACAAAGTCGGACTGCAACACATACACAGTAGCATCAGACTGGAATAGTGTCATCAGTCTCACTTTATTTGACCAAATATTTTCAGGTCACTGGTGAGGAATATTTTTCAGAGGCTCAAGAAGTGAAGAACAGAAAGCTAAGAGAAAACAGCAGCCAAAAAAAAAAGTTTCTCCACCATCCCCAGGCAACAATTCCCTGGCGGGGGGGGGGGGGGGGGGGGGCGGGGGGTCACCCAATTTTCACCGGAACAGGCCATTTAACCATCCAAATGATTTCTAAACGGGTTTATTAAGCTGAAAAAGTTGCCAAGTTCCCCTTTAACTGAGGTGATGCGTTGCCCATCAGTGTAAAGAAAAAAAGTCACTTTCTGAATTTCAAACAGCTGAATGAATTTAGCAGTACGTTCAAAGAGAAAGGGTTGTTTGAAGGTGACTCACTTTTCATGAGTTTGTCCGAGAGGTCTCGCAGGGTGCTGTTTGACTGCACCTTGTAGGGAGTCCCTGTCCTGGAGGGTGCCTGCCTGTTTGGGGTTTCTGCTCGAGGAGTGCCGGGTCTCAGGCCTGCTTCTGTGCTGGAGGAGTCCCGCTGCTCCGACTGCACTGTAGGGCTCTCACTGCTACTGTCCCGGGCGAGGGCATTGGCCGTGTACTGGGCGAGCTCCCGGAGCTCTGAGCTGTCTGCGGAGGCAGGGACGGGCTCGGCCAACGAGCTGTGTTTAACAGAGTTTAGGCTGTGCGCTCGGACCCGTGACCAGCTGGTAGAGCGGAAACTCTCAGCCTCCAACCAGAACCGAACCAGATGGTCAGCACCCCGTAGTTCCATGAAATGCATATAGTGGGGTATCGCCACGTTATCCCGCAGGACATGGTCCACTGTCTTCGACAGCCGAGAGCGGGTCTCTTGGGGCTGATAGTTCACACTGGAATGACCTGGAACATACAAATGCACACACAGTTCAGCAATCAACTAAGCAGAGGTAACTACAGGCTTTTAGACAGTGACAACAGAAACAGCGTAACAACAGCATGACATCAGCGTATTTCAAACAACAGGATAATTCAGAAATGAGAAAAAAAACTTTTGAGACATTATGTCCAATTCTACATTTGAAAGTAAAGCAATGTAAAGAATTTTAAATATTGTATTAACCCTGCATGTATCAAACACCATCAGCCTTATGTAATTTAATATGATGTATCTCAATTTAAAAGAATGATTTCATTATAAAACAGAAAGCTGTCCTTAAACTGTGAGAAAAAAAACTTTGTGCCTTGAAGCGCACAAAAGTATTTGACTTTAATAACAGACTGAGCAGTTCACTTTCTATTATTTACAGCATTCAACTTTCAACCTGGAAGGAAGATAAAACATGAAGTGAAAGATAAAAAGTGGATTTTCAGTCTTCTGCTCTCCCATTTCAACAGAAAATTTGGTCCAGGCTGAAGGCTGACGTGAGCTGAATTTAAACTCCCGGATGTTTGTTTTGAAGTCTTGTGAATTTCCAGCTCTCTATCTGTCTAAAAGTGGCCTTAGACTATGCAATTTCACACATGATTTAACCCAAACAAACTTCAGAACCACACGTCAACAACATCTGTGTGTCCTGTCCATCCTGTCATTCATGCGTGTAGGAAGTGGTCAGCAATGACTGTGAAGAAGAAGACTGAAGATAGAAACCTTTGACAGTCTCCAAACTCTAGCAACATCTGAACACTGAAAAAATTCCTGTAGGGATGCCATAGTAATTGACTTCAAAATGTCTCAAATAGTCTGTCTGTTTGAATAACATCCACTATCCTGGGGAACCGCAAGCACAAACACAGACACAGACTCACAGAAAACAAAACAAACAAGGGAGCTTATGAATTATGATTATGAATCAGAGCACATCAGCTGTAGTTAGACTGAAGCGTGGGCTGAGGCTTCCTGGTGTTATGTTTGTCCTTTGAAAACAAAAGAATTCTTCAAGAGGTGTCACCCAGTATGAGCTGCTTATCAATCAGGTCTTCAGATTCCTTAAGATCACACAGTGAAGCCCACCTTCATATTGAAAGCTGTTAACAACAACCAGGGCAGCACCCGTTTCTGCATCAGATGAAAAAGCCTCATTTACATACCCTTTCAGAGCCATTCAAAGTCTGATACAATGGCCTCTAACATGTGCTACATCCGCCCTATGCTCTTTGAACTGCTGTCAAAAGAAAAAAGAGAAGGCAAATCACATGATCATGTTCAACATTAGGGTTCTCGCTGCCAGTCAACTCCTACTAGGTCTGATACTGCTTTCACTCTCAGCTCCAGGTTTGGCCAACAAGCCTTGAGGGAAAATACCCCACCTCGCCTCTTGTAATCCTTCGCCCTCACTTCCTTCTTCTGTCTTCCTTTTATTTGAAACCACAGCCGAGAAATCTTTGGCGCGTCTTTGGCGTGTTTCATTCAGGTGTTGTTGTCCGGGCGGTGGCACAGGTTCCTCCACCTGCAACCGACTCAACCCAGCTATTCTTTGGACAACTTGCTCGTGCAGTTTCCCTCGCTGCTGTCATTCATCATGTCGGCCACAATACACATTCACTTCCTCCTGTCATGGCATCCAGCATATATACTCAGAAACTAGAATGAGTACTTCTGATAAAAGGGAGGAGCTGTGAGGCCAATGTTATCCTGACAGGCCTTGGTGTGTTTGGGTGCCTGTCAAAACTGATGTATGAGGTCGTGTGAGTGCCTCGCACAGGATTAATGAGGGAGTGTTTCCTACTTGCACAAGGCAGTCTGCTGTTTAAGTTATGTGAGTGATGGCATAGTGTAGCTACTGCACATCACTATGAAAAACCTACTCATCCCCATAAGGTTAAACAGGACATGTTCACAAGTTCTAATATTGTTAATTTGCGAACGTAAATAATGTTTACATTTTATTAATTTTCTTTGCATCAAGTATGTTGCATTCTATTATTACCCTGCAATAAGGCTGTGATTAAAATATTTACAGACTCTGCGATTCTATTATTCTCCTTTACCTACTGTTATATTTGGTTTTAATAAATCTGACATCCTCCTTCTCTCTAGAGTAGCAACTATTAGCAAATTAATCAATTAGGAAACAATTAATCAGCAACTTCATTTTGATAGTAATAGTAGAGAGAAACATGAATATCAGGGGAGAGAGATTTTAGTAAATTATAAAGGGCATTTTTCAATATTTTCGGACATTTTATAGACGTAAAAAAGTGAAACTGAAATCGGCAAATTTTGATTAAAATAATCATTACTCGCAGCCCTACTCCTTTACCTTGTTTGTTTTCCCCTCTGTTTTGTATGGTTTACAATTACTGTAAAGTAAGGTGGTCCAAATGTGCAAATGACTGTAACCTGCTATCACTCCCAACTTGGTTGACATGTCACAGACCAGTGAATCATGTTTCTTATATACTTTATACCCCAAATTTTCCATCTATAACACCAACTCTTTAATTATGTTTCAGAAGATAATTCAAATGAATATGGTTTGGCTGGGCCTTTATATGTTTTCATTGAAAACAACATACAAACACATGAATGAATGCTATTTACCAAGATCTCCAAAGTGCGCAGCCTCCATGTGGCTTGGCTGTTTCTTGAGGATGGCGGTACGACCGCGGGCAAAGGAGTCCATGTTGGCAGAGATGGCGTTGATGGCCACATGGCTGGGCCCGGCAGCTTCCTGGATGGCATGGTGGTTCCTCAGTCCTAATGCTGGAGAGTGAGGGCTGGTTGGAGCTGTGAGTGGAGAATGGAGAACAGAAAATTAGGCATTAGGGGGGAAAAAGAAGGAAAAATAAATAAATAAAAGAGTATAATGATAACAAAGTTCTGAGTAGCCTGAATGTATGACATCAGTGTGACTTGTGTGAAAAGGCCTTTTAAGTGAAGGTTCTTGAAAGGGCTCACAGTTAGTTAGTGTGCAGAGGCCCCAGGGTGTGAGAGTGAGAAGACAGATTGCTCTGTGTTTGTTTGACTGTGAGCTGCATGTGTTTCACTTTAGTAGCTTGAGGTCAAAATCTTGGTCCTTGTGACAATACAACCAGCAAATATCAAACATATTAAGAGCTAACGTAAGCAAAGAGCTACTTGAATCACTTCCTTACATAGACTAATCTCAGTTCTAAGAGCACACGCATGCAAAAACATCTTTAATATATCTGAAAGTGTCAACGAATGCATCACAACAATCGATATTAACACACCCTTGTCTCTAGGTGTTTCGTTGTCATTTTACACACACTATAAATAAAGCCTTTTCAATTCACAACATTGTGTGTGACATTTTCATAACCACACAGAGGTGCCGATGAACTCACCTCTATTGACTTTAGCATCTGTCACTCTCTCAGGTTCTTTGCTTTTGGCTGTGGGGAGAAAGATGAGAGCGGGGTTGTAACTAAAGAAGCGGACAGTATTTTGATTCACAATACAGGGCGAGACCAGCCAGCAAAAAAAAAAAACACAACAATTTTCTAAATCACACGACATCCATTGAGGGGTGAGGTAAAGGGTTGGTGTGGTGTCACCGGAAAGACTGGAACGCACTATCTAGTTCCATAATGACAGAGAGGAAACTGATATACTAGAAAAGCAACTGTAAACAGCTACGCTACGCAAACAAATAATTCCCTGCTGCTGCTGCTGACAGATGAGCAGATAAATAGGGAAGCTGTGTTCAGACATGTGAAAGCCCCCTCAGTCCTTTCAGCCCTTTCATACTGGACGTCAGCATTAAGAGTCCCTTCTAAGATTTGGAACCTTGTTCTATCAGCAGTTTAGAGTTGACTGACAGCTTACCCTATAAGTTTAAAGAAAAAAAACACATGATATCATAGCTTAATGGATGAGCTAAAATTATGCAGCCTAATGCAAAACCATTTACCACTACAACTATTTGACGGCACTCCTAAGCTCTGTGGCTACCTGTCAAATTCAAAATGAAATATGTAGCCTGCAGTGGAATGAGTGCACAGTGGCAGACATGGTGGTAAACACTCATCAGAGTGACTCACCATTCATATCTTCAGATTAGGCTGTTGCTGCAAAGAGCGGTCAGGCTAAGTCTCAATTTCAAGCACTGACCTTACAAAATGGACAGAAAGGCCTGGCCAGACGGTACAGAAGATGTTCTTTCAGTGAGGCTTTTTGGACAGAGATGTTTGTGAATGCGTGTGTCCGCCAAGAGTCAGAGTCGCCTCCTCTCGTTTAAGTCCCCATGTTAAACGTGGTACAAATAACACCAGACGTCTTTGCTCTAAATAAATATTCATGATGCCCACGATGAGTTGCTGTAATGGATGTTCTGTTAAAACAACAGTGTTTTGGATGCATTACAAGCAAACTGGGAATGCAGCATCAGTGTGCAGAAATTATAATCAATCAGAGCACCATGAGGACTCTCTTTTAGACAGTCTTCCATTTTGTCCCTGTTAAAGGTGTATTCGGAGGGTGTCTTACACTGTACGGATTGTAAAGCCTGAGGCAAATTGTGATTTTGGGTTAGAACGTGCTCTTATTTTTAATTTTTCTTTTTTTGGGTCTTTTATTGCCTTTTAACTGATAGTGACAGCTGAAGATAGACAGGAAAGGTGGTAGAGAGAGAGAGGATGACACACAGCAAAGGGCCACAGGTCGGATTCGAACCCTGACGCTGCAGCAAGGACTCAGCACATGGTCGCCAGCTCTACCAGGTGAGCTAACCAGGCGCCCGGAACGTGCTCTTATTGACAGCAAAGTATACAGACTCATCAATGAGTGCCCTTTGACTAATGCTGCACAGTGTGGGCCTGATATGAACATTAACAAACTGAATAAAACGGATAAAAGAGAAGTTGTATGATAAATAATCAAAGTCAACAACAATGAATAAATCAACAAAGTGCAACAAACAAAAGACTAATTCCCTGTTCCACACCCCTAATTACAATATAACATTAGCACTATAATTTCATTGCAGAACGTTCTCTTCAGTAAAAGCTTTTTCCTGGAGATTTCAGCCGTGCCTGTACCAGCACACTTCCTTCCTGTCAGTTGTCCCAGCTCAGAGCATTGTAAGTGCACTGTATAATATTTCCTCATTTTGAAGACCTGCTGCGTCAGCTGCTTTGGAGACTGAAGGCTATGAGGACAGACCACTAATCTGACTCTTCAAGACAAACAAGCGTGGGCCGGTGAGGTCGATGAAGTTACTGCGTCGATTTCTAGAATATAAACCCAAGCAGACTTGTAGAAATGTATTTCACAATCACTGCCTCTCTGTTATCGCAGCTGTGTTCTTTCTGCCAAAGCAAGGAGATATGAAACCTGGCTTGTTGTAAGAAACCTGGCTCAGTGAAAGGGCCGTTCTTGTTGGGATGGCGTAGTAACAATGTAGATCTTCTTTAATTACACTTTGTTGCCAATTTATTAGCTAGAACTAGCTAAAACTGGTGCGCCTGGGTCTCTCACCTGGCAGCGCCCCATGTACCAAGGCTGAGTCCTTGCTGCAGCGGCCATGGGATAGACTCCAACCTGTGGACCTATCCCCTCTTCTCTCTCTCTCTCTCTCTCTCTCTCCTCCACTCCACCTAATAATGAGTGGTTAACAGTTCAACCATTAGGCTTTTGGCACCACCAGTGTGCCTGCCTGGTTGCAGCAGCTCAGTGCAGATCAGTTAAGGATATAACAGATATTACACCAATCTTTTACTAGGTAGTCTAACCTGTGAGGGTCTGAGGGTCATGCTGTGGTTCATAACGACACAGCTGAAAGTCAGATCCAAATCAATCACATCCTTCTTCCTAACGTTGGATGATGCTCACCAGTTTTACTAATGTCCGCTACTAAATGAAGACTGACGTTATTACACACATTCTCTTCATGATGGGTAACACCTTTGATTCAGACACAGCGGGCAGTATTACCTGTGTGCATGTTTCTTGATGGTTCAGGCAGCATGAAACGATAAAGCTAGCTAGCTAGCACAGCCTGCCACTTGTATCCAGTGATGGCTATCGCAGATAAAAGTGCTAAATGGACGTTTTTGGCATTTAAAGCATCCTTTTATGCAAACAGAGTTACAGTAATGGCTGTAGGTGGTGCACCGACAGCCCTCTGCGGTGGATTTATAGCGACCCGGGCTAACATTAGGTGAGTTAAGGCAGGGAGGACAGAGAGGCCACCGCTAAGCTAACCCTGGTACTGCAGCGAGCAGCGGCTGCACGGTAACTCGTTTCCACACACACGACTGTTTCCGTGGCTCATTTCCCCGCAGCCACAGTCCCGACCACGTTAGTTACATGTTATCAGGGACCACTGTCTCCTCCCAGCCGGACTCTCCGCTGCTAGCTACCGTTGACGTTGCTTCCTCACCTTTCCTCTTGAAAAACGACATGACGGGTTTGACACTGTGGACGTTTCCTCAGCTCACTGACACCATCCCGTGGACTCGCGGGTCCCTTCATTCAAATGCATCTGTTCCGTCCACTCCTGAGGGGGGAATCAGTTGTAATCGCAGCCCCGGTGAGTGCTGTCAATTTACAGTTTTCTCCAAATCCAAACCCAGCTCCGCGGCCATATTGTCAATAAACGTCTTACTTCCGGGCTGGTGCGGCAGCAGCATTGTGGGAAACTGTGTGTTACCTGCTCTGGTCAGAAGAGGGCGCTGTTTACACGTGGACAACGCCAGATAGTTACAGTACATGATGCTGTCAAAGGATTTAAGCGTCACGGCAATGTATTTCATTGATTTTATTATTATATTGGCAATATACCATACTCACAAATATAAAAAGTCTTTATTATGACTCACATAACGAAACCAAACACTGTTGTCAGTGACTGTAAAGTTGAAAAACATGTATAGCAATCCTTCAACTATATATACTATATATATTCTAATAATACATTTTCCATTCACATTTACAGTATATGTTTTGCCTTGCCTGTCTTTGGACATATTATGATAACCATAAATGTAAAATCTAAAGGTCAGAACAACTTTCATCATAACAATGACAAAATGTGATTTAACCCAATTATATTTATTATTACTTAAATATTTGTCAGTGTGACTATGAATTAGGGCAGCAGAGTGAAAAACCTACGACTAATATAGGAGGAGGAATACAGGGTAACATATGTGCCATATGGGCTTCATATTACACTCTCAACAAAGGTGAGCTGGAAGTGAGAATGACCAACAGAAATGTGTGGGTTTGTAAATGAGCCTTTAATTAAATAGTTCACAAGTCAAACATTGTTCCACCATTGTGATCATTTTTCTCTAGAGAACACCTTTGTATCATATTGTGTCCACTGTTGACACTCAGCATGTTGGTTTTCATAATAACTTGTGACACAGAAGCTAAGTTTAGCTTTAATACCAGGATGAGGATTAGTTACAGTAATACAAATATAACTTGTGTTGAATCTTGTTTTTCACCTGATGGCTTCTTAAGGACCAGCACAGGTGGTTCCACTTCTACCTGATTGGACCAACTGTGAGAGATATGTGAGGGAAGATCAATCAAACACGTTTAGCACACACCTCCACTGCCATAAAAAAAAAGGCCTAATGAAGCAAATAAATGAAAACAGCTGTGTGTTAGAGATATCGTGCCAGTTTTCTCTCTGTGCAAACAGTGCATAGACATTACTGCAACTGTCTGCTCTGGTCTGTCTTGCATAATTCTTTCTGTCACGATGGAGTTGGCAGGCACTTTTGTAGTTCAAGGTCCCAAATTGACTATTCTTTTTGAAGTAATGTGTGTTGCAAGTTATCACTGCGTTCAGTGAACAAACATCCAAAGACAATCCAAAACACTGCGGGGGAATTCAACATTGTTTTTATTATATGTAGTGATTTTGTTTGTAAGAAATGTGTGACCTTTTAGGAATGAGATTTAAGAGCAGAAATGATGCAAACTCGTCGTATTCATTGTAAAAACTGAGGTTGCTGTAGGGTTTTATGATACATAAAATCTAATACAAATCATGTATTGCTTCATTTAGATAATCAAGAGATGCTGTGCTGCAAATGTAAATCTTTCATTAATTTTTCAATCGCGGCCGATTCCATGGGTCTCTTTGGGCCTGTCGATGCGGTAGACAAACTCTGCTGGCATGAAGTAGCCCAGGTACTCTACAGTGTCCGGCGTGGTGTCTATGTAGTAGTGGCCACCTTCTCCATGGTGGCTGAAGCAGTGGGTGTGCTCCACGCGCAGGTCCAAACCCTGGATACACAGCAAACAAATGAACAGAACCATTACAAAGCAGCTTCCTTTCAGAAATGCACTGCCGATAGGTGTTTGAGATGAGTGCGCTTACTTACAGGGTCTCTGGATACCAGCACTGACTGGCAGATGAGTGGGGCGCTGACCTCAAAGTGCTTGAGCCAGTTGTTGACGTCCTCATGGGTGTCGAGGGGGCAGGCTGAGAACTCTCTCGGCTATCGACGAGCAGAAACGAGGAAATAAATTAAGGTATGGAACTGCCAGTCAATATCGATCTTGTGTTCTGAGTCGTGTCCAATATTTACCATGATGTGGATTTTAGCTTTCCCTTTCTGGATGATGAAGGTGCCTCCCAGAGCCAGGCTTTTATCAGGGTAGTGACCTTCAAGAGTGTTCCTCAAAGCTGTTACAAGACTGTGGCTTCCTGTTCTCTTCTTGGCCCGCACCTCAATGACCTGCAGGGGCACACGGGTGAAGAAGGCAACTCAGGCTGTGCAGTCACGCTCCTTTAGTTAATGTTTATCCTTTCAAATGTTGGGTGCACATGTGATGGGACTGAAGTTCACGTACAGCAACTTCAGCAAGGTTATTAACTTCCAGATAATTGTGTTTAAGTTCATATATAACCACAGATGTTCATTATTTGCCAAAAGCAAAGATGAATGCATTTTTGAAGGGTCGTTGCAGGCAGCATCGTTCATTCTCAGATAGGACGGATTACCTTTCCGGACTTCCCTTCACAAGCGTACAGATTGCCCAGCAGCCCAAAGTTGCAGCCAGAGAATTTGTCACTGTATTTTTCTTGCAGACACTGGCCATCAGCTGGATTGATGGAGGAGAAGTAGCTGCTGTTCACCGCAGGCCTTCCCTCCGCTTCGGTCAGAACCAGAGGCATCAGCTGTGGACGACAATATTTAGTCCATCAACTTATGAACAATACAATGCTTCAGGTTTATAATGATAACATGATATTTTACTGTCGGGAAATCCACTTGACTCCTGACAGAATCAAGTCAGTCATCAGCCGCTGAGCAACTTGTCTCTTGCTTGTCAAATGTGCAACTTTCAGTCCAAACTCTAGAAGGCAATCGCACAAGCACCTAAAGTTTGTCTTTTTCAATCCAATATTTACACTGCAGTCAGACATGCTGGTAAAAAGATGTTAAAGCTATCTGACATAAGACCTGTTAAGTACCAGTTCGGATTTTTTTTTTTGCTTCAAGTCAATGTTTTGTATGCTATGGAGGTTTTCAAGATGATATCTGGGGTAGCGCTCAAAATTGTCAAAAAATTTCCTGTGGTCCTGGGGACAATAAAATAGCCTCTGGGACAATTCTAGGACAGAAGAGAAATGTTTTATTACCAGTTAAATTATTACGTGTATGTGTTACGGAATATGCACCACAAAATGTGAGGTGGCACCGGTACAAGCTCCATGCTACGTCACACGCATGTTTACACACACAAAATAAATCAGAGAGAACAGTGTTACCGACTTTCTCACTACATTTAGCGACTTTTCAGACCCTCTTAGCAACTTAATTTCTAAAAAAGCGACTAGCGACAAATTTTGTGACTTATCAAGGAAAACAAGAGAAATATATAATTTATTCCCATGCAGAGTAAGTAATTGCAGTTGAGTTGAGTAATTGCAGCAGTCCACAGCTCTTGAGCCAACACCACCGGGGTCTCTCCCTCTCCTTTTGTGCCATGTACAGGCAGTAAGTACTGTAGGTGTGACGTTCAGGGCACATTTGACCTTCTCTCTCACTCTCTCTCTGGATTAGGGTGTTCCTATAGTTTGTAAATATGTAAATAGTTTGTTTGACCTTCTTTCTGAATCTTTCTCGCCGGATCTCTGGATTAAGGTGTTCCTATAGCTTATATGTAAATAGTTAGTTTGAGCTTGTAAATATTTAAATAGTTTGTTTGATCTTCTCCGTCCCTTTGTAGAGTTTTTAAAAAACTCTTTTTACTTCAAATGTATGATGTCCCTGTAGTAAGTTTTTGATTATTTGGCTAAATAATATAAACATTTAAGTAAAAAGTAAATTTTCAATTTCCATCGCCGCCATCTGAATTTGCACTGCAGTTTGCAGTGAGGCTTTTATTGGTCGAACAGACAAGCAACAGTAGCTCAACCCATGATTAAATAAATAATGAAAACTGGTTGTGGCCAAACACCTGGGGTGATTTCAGGTTTTAGCACAGTGAGTCAATGAAGTGATGCCAGTTACTGGAAAAGTTATTTAACAATATTCATTATGTAAAATAAAAAAATAACTTCAATTTGGGACGATGGTTGTTAAGTGTGGGACAGCTGAAAGTAGTTTTCGGGACAGTTGTGAGGAAAAAAGATAACATTGAGTCCTTCAGGGCCCTCCTCCCTTCAGTAAGCAACACATAAGTAGCTCTAAAGTGGTGTAAGTCAAGATAGTATAGTCAACAGTGGAGTAACGGGGGTAAAAATGACTCACCTCTGCGTTCATTCCAATAATTCTGGAGGGGGCCCCCGCTGCACCGAGGAGGAAGGCTCCTGGCAGCTCCAGTTCCTTTGATATGGCGTTCATGTCGTATTCCTGGGAGGAGGAGCGTCAACTATATAATAATTTAATTCACCACAGGCCACTGCTCATTTTCTCTATTGTAATATTGTCCTAAAATATACCTTGTCCTTCTGGACCAAGGGGACCAGGTACGGCACGCCACCAACATCAGTGATGCGAGGATTTCCACACAAGCCTACAATGGGAGGACAGAGGTGACATTAAGAGACACATATCATAAACCTCCAGTGTTCTTCACAGGCAATAGCTCATGCTGATCTATCTCAATCTGTCAATCAATATATCAACCCTGGTCCTTAAAAGCAAAATGAGCTGCCACGCTCCTTGTGTGTCTTTTTGGTAACATGTGAGCATCAAAGTTAGAGTTGTGTTCTCTTCTACTTAATGTGTGAAGAGGCTTAAAAAGCTCTGTTGGCTCTCTGTTATGTATTGGTTCCAATGCTTTTGCCAATAATGCACTAGTGGTTGACCCTTGACCCCTATGAAAATTTAGTGGTGGAAGAAGTATTCAGATCCGTTACTTACATAAAAGTACTAATAGCACACTGTGAAAATAACCCACTAGAAGTAAAAGTATGTAAATATTATCAGCAAAATGTCCACAGCAAAAGTAAAGGTACTCATAACACGGTGTTTCACTATTACTGGTATATATGGTGTTGTTTTTTGGTTTAATATTACTGCTGCATTAATGCGTATGTTACATTTTACTGCTACAGATGTTTAAGGCTGTGCTGAATGCAGGATTTTCACTTTAGGGGTGGTATTGGTACTTTTACTGGTTATACTGTATGTGATGTGTGATGATCTGTAAAGTAATGCTTCTAAAGCTGTCACACAAATGTAATGTTACTCTAGTAAAAAGTACAATATTTGTTGCTGAGATGTAGTGGAGTAAAAGTATAAAGTTGCATAAAATAAAATGAATGAAATCATATCTGACAAAATAAAAGCAATGCATCCATATTTGAAGCTAATGAGAGACTTTGAGAGACTGGTAAATTAATCTAATACAAAAACACTGTGTTTGGCCTAGGTGTGTAGGGGTTAAATTGTGCACCAATGGACTAAATACACATGCATACTTCACACTAGATTCAGATGTATACTGTGTATACTTTTCAACATGCTACATACTGTGGAATATGCATAAATAGACAGGCTCTTACCTTTGACAGGAAACTGGAAGGGCTCTTTGGTGAGATCTGGACACTCCACAACACTCACCTGAACTTCAGCAAAGTTGTTCTCCAGTCCCGCTTGTAATACTGCAACCAGCAACAATGTCTCCATTACTCTCTCTTTATGATCACCCTATTTCATAAACATGCCTGTGTCACTTTGCCTGTGTATCAGAGCTGAAAGCCTTACCACCACGCAGTTCCTCTAAACCTGGAGCGTGCAGCTGAACCTTTTCAGTTTTGCTGATATCTGCCATACCTGTACTGGAAGGTAATGTAGCAGCAGACTGTTGGCGGTGCAGGAAAAGTCGATTGTTAATACTGCACTGTACGGGTGAAGTACAACCAAAGAGTAAATACGAACAAGATAGTTCATATCCCACATAGTGTCCCCTCGCTTGTGCAGCCAGCTCATTAGTGCATTTAGTAAAACTGCCTAAATTAAAATACATATATTTCATTTATAGGTAATATTGTAATAAATCAATTTAAGTTGTTGGGTTGATGTTTAAACTCTGAAATATGAAAATAATGTAAAGTGTGATATGGAATTATATAGTCTAGGGAATTATGTACATTTGAAATAACACGCCCAATGTAAACGACTCATGTATATATCTTAAAGGCTATATCCATGTGTACTGAATAAACAATCTACCTGTTTTAATGTATTTTACTTATCTAAATGTTTCCATTGCCACGATATTAATTCACTTGAGGGGTGACTGAGACTGGGTGTTTTGGGCTAATATGAATATATTATGTTGAAAACAGGATTCCAATGTTTGAACAAACTCAAAATCAACTTACCAGCTTATTTTGGAGATTTCAACTTAATTTCTTAATTGTCTTCTTCGGCAGATTTTTGTTTTTTTTGGTCATTTTTTTCATCCATCTGATTCTAGTGGTGCTTGTTACTATATGTATTTATGTTACGTTCACTGTTTTACGTGGTGCAGTCGAAACCGGAAGTACAAACAGTGAATCCTCTTGTTTCTTTCAGGGACTGCTGCCTACTCTTTGCTGATTGGTCAGATGATGATTCGTCACGTCGATGACGTTCAATCCCTTCCTGTTTGACCCAGAAACACATGTACCGTATCTCTTTTTGTTGTTTTGATGCCGCTACACGTTTGTTAACGACGTTAGCGAGTTTAGTAAATACCGATCATTATTTATCTACAGCGGACCTTTAATCACACAGGACCAACACATCTGGAGCACAATCAAGCGGATCTTCCTACTTCTTGCCCATGAAGACCCCCACTCCTTTGCTGCTTATTTCTTGCTACGCTTCACAATGGCAGACGTGCGCAATTCTCTATCTTGGACTCAATCTGATGCCCTTGCTGAGGTTGTATCAGCAGAGTCATGCCACATTGCCCTAGAACCATCCCCTCCAGACTATGTGGAGAAGATATCGCGGTATCTTGAGTCCTCTGTGGGGCAGGGCGAACAGGATAAAGTATGTCATGAACCTGCTGAAGCCGAAAGGTAAGGTTGTGACCCCCGGATGCCACAGTGATGATACAGCTGCTCCTATAACAGCAGCCTGAATGGCTCGTCTCTCTAACTGTGTAATTATGTCTCTGCAGTGACTCAGGAGACAGCCTGTTCATAACTCAGAAGCCAGTACCTGAGGCTGTGAGATCAGCACGGCGAGGTCGCTACAGCCTACGGAAACACCCCATATTCCTCTCAGAAGAAAGTGATGGGGACAGTTTATCTTCAAATGGAGAATCCAGAACTGCCAAGCGGAGGAAAAGACAGAAATGCATATTGCCAAAATACAGTTTCCCTTTCCTCTCAGAGAAGAAGTGGAAGCCCACAAGCACTCTGTTACCAACCCGGCAGAACACGAGCCTTCATGTAAGGATAACTAATACTTTTTTCTGGCTATTGTTGTATAACAGATGCTTGCAAATGTTACTTGGTGCTAAAGTCTTTCTTTTTTACAGAATTTTATGATGGGAGGCTTCTTTAAATGTGTCAGAGAGCAGTGGCAGGGCTTGGAAAGAGGAGATGATGTGGAGTCATCTTTACCAACAGTTGACGTGGATGGGGATTGCATATCTCCGTTGGCAGAGTAAGTTTATTTTATGGTTACATGTGTAGTTTAAAAAAAAAGAAAAACAAACTAACCCAGATCCACCAACACAGTGGCCACAGATTGTTGTTTTTTTAAGTACAATTTTAAAGAAACTAGTCTACATACAAGTTCATGGTTTTCTTAACTACAACAATAATTTAGAAATGTTTCAGGTTTATCACAGTACATACAGAGACAGCTTTAGTAAAAGTAGTTGATGAGATTAGGGTAATCCTTATGCAGTAAACTTTTTGTTCTGGTACAACTTGATAAAGTTGATCACAGAAGTATAATAAGTAGACTGAGGGAAGACATCAGTCGGTCTGGAGCATTTTTTAACTGCTGCTGGGTTAATTTGTTATCTTTCTGGAATTCTCTATCACAACACAATATCTTTTCAACAAACACAACACAAAATAACTTGTGGGGTTCCCCAAAGATCAACTTTAGGACCACTACTTAATCTATATATATTAGCCCTTGGAGGTATCATTAGGAGACATGGCATCTGAGATATCTTTTAAATTTAAACTTAAAACTTACCTCTTTAGTCTGGCTTTTTATTTGAATTATTTATTTATTTTCAGAATTTATTTTATTGTATTGCCCCTCATGTGTTTTACTTTGTTGACTCTTATCAATATTATTTGTTTTGGAATTTTTTTTATCTATTTAATTGTTTTTTATTATGACATTTTAATCCTTTTTATTTCTCTCATACATTAGTCTCAAATTATTTACATTTGTACTGTCTTTAAACTAGCTTGTTGGTCACCTGTAAAGCACTTCGAATACCACTAACCAATATGATAAGTTCTGTACAAATAAAGTTGGATTGATTGGTAATAAAACGCATCTATTCTGTTTATAGAGAGGAAGAAGAAGGGTCAGAAGTTGAAGACATCAAAGTTGTGGTAAGCAGGCTGTTAAAACAAGAAATCTTGCATATCACAGCACTTTTCGTTTATGAACTCTGCCTAATCCGTTTGTCATCTTACAGGAAAAGAAACATTTTGTGGCGTCATTAAAAGCAAAAAGCCGTCACGCCTGGTGCAACCAGTTGAAACAGAGGAATAAGAAATCTGGTGATGCCAAACAGAAGATTGTTTTTCAGCAAAAAGCCAGGGAGGAAGAGCTGTGTGACGACAGTGACGCTACAGTGTGTGAGCTGCCGATCCCAAGGCAGTACGTACAGAACGACAGAGAAGCATCCACAACCGTAACAGAGCCTCAAACGGATGTTTTCCACACAGACGATCTGTCCCAAACAGCACAGGCAGAGGATGAACCTGAAAGCCAAAGTCTCCTCCGTGGTCTCCCAGACCTTATACATGACACTAATAATGACAGTGTATGCAGTGAAACCGTGGTTAAGAAGAGGAAAAAGAAGAAAAAAGACAGAGATCATGAAAGTGTAGAAGAAGAAAAGAGTCAGGAAGAGCCACAGGGTGTGCATGCTGCAGCAGAAGTGACTCCCAGTCTGTCTCAGGATGACAGGGCAGAGCCTCTGGCGTCGCAGACAAGTGATGAGCTGGAACTTAATGAAAGAAATTGTATTGTATCACATGATGATACCATACTGAGACAGGAGGAGAGAGACAGTCCCGATTCAAAACAAAAGAAAAAGAAGAGGAAAAAGACTGCAGCAGAAAATGTCGGACAGGAAGTGGATGGAAACTTAGAATTGGATGTGAGAGTGGAGGATTCTGTGTTTTCAGCAAGCTGTAACGTGGACAGTAGTGGCAAGAAGAAAAAAAGTAAAAGAAGTGGTGAGGATGTGGAGCAGTTACAGTCTAACGCGGTTGCAGAACCTCTAAATGATGATGCTGAGATACAGACGAAAAAGAAAAAAAGGAAAAAAGAAGGGAAGATTGTAGTTGCAGAGGAATGTGAGGGAGAGGAAACATCGAATAGGGCTTTAGATTTGCCACCAATGTCAACAGGACAGTTAGAGGAATCAGGAGATTGTTTAGAAAATACTTCAGTTTCTGCAGAAACATTAGAATCCACATATGTCAAAAGAAAAAAGCATAAAAATAAGCATCAGTCATCTAATAATGCTATTCATGATGGAGAAGAAGGCGGAGATGTAAACTTCTCTAATGATGCTTTAACCTTGGAAGAAAGTACAGGGATGTCACTGAAAAAGAAGAAAAGGAAGAAGCAGAAAACTATCTTGGAGTGGGTGGATATCTCTCGCACTCCTGAAGAAAATGAAAAGGCTGATGTAGATAATACCCAGAAAACAAAGGAGGGCCTTGAAGACCAAAATGCTGAACTGGTGACTAAGAAAAAGAAGAAGAAGAAGAAAACGACCGAAAGATCTAACAGTAATATCTTTGAAGACAGCGTGGCTCAAAGCAATGATTCAGTGTCTGCACATAAAAAGGAAAAGAAGAGGACCTCATCCTTCCTCGTTGCTGATGCAGAGGAAAATGACGCTCAGACACACGGGGAACAAAACTCTCAATCTCATGTCTGGGGTTCAGAAAAACCTGCCGTCAGCACTGAGGTAGAATCAGCAGAAATCACAGGAAATGTGGCGGAATCTAACAACAGGGTCAGGAAAAAGAAAAGGAGGAGGAAGGTGTCCGTAGAGCTGGACAGTGTGGAAAAAGATCACAAGCTCGATTTTGAGGAACCAAACGAAACACGTTCGAGTGCTTTGCCTGAAACCACCGACGCAGGGGTGAAAAGGAAAAAGAAACGTATGGGAAATGAAAGTGAGTTAGTGGCTCCTATGGAAAGATTAGAAAGTGCAGCTGATGCGGGACATTCGCCAACTGATGAGGCTGTAGTGCTGAAAAAGAAGAAGAAGAAGAAGAAAAAGTGCAAAGAAGAGTCATTGCACGTGATTCAAGAGAGTCCACCAGCTGCCACTGAAGATGCTGAATCAGGAAAATCTTCACTGAATGCCTGCAGCTCAGTTTCACACAAGAAAAAAGGGAAACATTTGACCTCTCCTTCGAAGGGTAAATATGTACACAGTGCTAGCAGTACTTCTGACCAAGCGACCATGGAAACACTGAACATGGTTGAACATGCTTCACCGTCGTTAGAGATACCTGGAAATCAGGCATTTAATCATGTGAGTGATAAGAAGAAGAAGAAAACGAAATCCAGTGATAATGTTCTGGTGAAGGGGAAATCAATGACCAAGTCTGCTGAGTTAGAAAACAAAAAGAAGGAAAGAAATAAGCAATCAACTGGCTCCAGTATTATATCCAGCAGCCCAGTGTTATTAGAGACATCGCTCTCAAAATCTGAAATGTCGTCTTCAGACCGTATCATGAAAAACGGGCACATGAAGGTCAGACGGAGACTTCTTAATCCAAGTGAGGACTTTCTTACAGACTATTAGAAGGAACTCGATTGAGTTGTAGTTTGAAAGACAGTGATGGAGTTTGATCAGTAGAGGAATTCTCCATAATCACCTGGACACAAGTGAACTGTAAAATGTGACAGTTGTGGGTTTTTGTATTTAAAAAAAAAACTTTTTTATGTTTTGTATTAAAAGCATTTTACTGACTGAATGGTTCTTAACCTTTCTGGTGTTCATATGACCTCTGAACATATAATAACACACCATAACAAAGCATAATGCTTACTTTGTTTCAAAATATAAGTTTGTTAAACCGTATTGTCAACTGACCTAACTGGTATAAATAAAAAACCTAGCCTGCCAGGGGGAGAGAAGTCAAGGTCATTCGTTTATAGACATTGTCATTTAGACAAAATTCTCATTTATTATCTAATGAAATGTAATCTGATACAATTATTAATTATCTCTGTTCAGTGTATTTTTACAGACTGATTTATTATAAAATTGTAATCCCGTTTATAATCCCCATTTTTACTAAATGTAATTGTAAAGGATTACAGTTACCTTTAATGGTATCCTTATTGTGTAACTCAGTGGCATGTAATCCATTACTCCCCAAGCCTGATTATAGCTTTAACAAAGTGCACCTTTGTTAAAGAGAATGCGGTTAATAGGTAATGTTATACCACTGCTTTAAGGTAAAATGTTTTCCGGAAAGTCACTGGAATTTCATTTGCGATCATGGGTTGTGGGTTTTTGGCATACTTCACCTTTGGAAGACTAATATGCTAAATATTTTCAGTTATGTGTCAAAGTTTTTAATAAACCATCCAATTTGTCTGCCCCTATTTATCTAAGTTATATGTATCCTTTACTCAAAACTTGTTTCAATCAAGATTATGTAGCTGCACATGTGATGAAATGGACTTTGGATAGAGAGAAAAAGGCTCTAATTGTATATACATTCCCCTTTTTTTCCCGTAATATAGTTGTTATTTCCACTGGCATTTTGTATTAAACATGTCACGTTGCTTTATTTTGAAGGTCATGGCCGGAAGTAGCTATTCCGTCATGTCCAGCTTAACAGACTAGCGGTAAATGCCAAAATAACGAAACGTTGTTTTAATCATTTTATTTTGGTAGAACGTCACCGGAAACCAACGGTAACTATTCCCCCGTTCGTTTTGACAGTGAGACGTAAACAAAGGGAGGAACCTCGTTAACCGGAGTTTCGCCTTCAACTCGAGATGTCGTGCTCCACTCAGCGCATTTTACGCACGGTGACTGACCACAGCAAGCCAGCGGGCCCGTTACGTAAGCGCGCAGCCACAGCAGGCATTTAAACGGTGAGGCTGCGAAGATCCAGCTGGAAACTTTTCCTCCGCTCCCTGAAAGCCTCAGAGACCCGTCAGTCTCCGCACAGTTTTGACGTACCCAGCCATGTCTGCTTATAAAAACAGCGTGTGTTTTAACGAGGCCAGGAGAGTGGCTATTTTCGGAGGGACGCACGGGAACGAGATGTCAGGCGTGACGCTCGTGAACCTGTGGGTGAAGAACAGCGCAGAGATCCAGAGGAAAGGGGTCGAGACCAAACCGTTCATCGCCAACCCGAAGGCTGTGGAGAAGTGCACCAGATACGTGGACACGGACCTGAACCGAGCCTTCAGCCCGGAAAACCTCAGGTAAACACAGCCGGTCCCGGAGCTGCTGGCATGTGCGGAGTCGCCGCTGCTGCTGCTCGGGTGTTGTTGTTGTTCCGGTCTGCTGTCATACATGTTGAATGGAAACTTTGTGGTGGTGGTGGCTGGGATCCAGAAACCCGTTTCACATTTAACACCAGACCTTTGACCCCTCATTTGATGTTACGGATTAGACTTTGAGCTCAGTCTGATAAGAGAACCAAAGACGTGGCACATGTGAATACCTGTACTGTAAACTGACAGTATATGATCGCTCTGTACATCGTCTCATCAGGACAGGGGGGTTGTTTGTTTGTGTGTTTGTTTGTTTGCGACATCCAGAACCTGGTTTAATGTTACATCCTTGGAGATCTCGACTACAGTTTGTGGAAATGTGTTGGAAAATGTAATGACAGCGCAATTATGCAACATTATCGACATCATTGACTCCGTGTGTGTGTGTGTGTGCTCCAGACAAACGGGGAACATATAAGACCTCTTGCTTAGAGAACATTCCCAGCATAACGGAAACAACACCCGGGAGACAGTGATGGTTGTGAGTTGTTGTAAAATAGGATTCACACCGTTACACTTCTCCTACACTAAAACTGTGGCGTGGACATTTCCATCACACTGTTATTATCTCAGGTAGTGTGTTTACCATCAGCCATGTCCCCCCCCCTAATCTCTCTCTCTCTCTCTCTCTCTCTCTGGCGACTTCTCTCTCTCTACCCCACCCCCCACGGCCCTGTGCCAATAACAGCAGAGCAGCGTGTCCCTTCCTCCCGGACTCGAGCCCACAGTCTGCCAGCAGGAAAAACGTGAGCGGAACGTGACCGAGCTGCAAATGAATAAAGACGATTCATTTATTTATTTATTTATTTTATTCGTGCCTCTTCGTGTGCACTACAGCGGAATATAAAGTCTTACGCAAACGCTGGCTCATAGGCGTCAGTGAGCATGAACACGCACACAGCAGCCTATTCACTAATGCGGTTGGATAGCAACATCCCACTATTCATAAATCACCAGGGAATCCCATAATGACATTCCCAAGGTTATTGTAGTGTGTGTGGTACCTACTGGGGAAGTTGTTGTTATCACCATAATATTTCTATGTATGTGCTATTCTGTACAGTTGGTATAGTGTTATTAAGTATGTGTGTGTTTAGGTATAATTACATAATGTCTTCTGGTGTTTATCACATTTTACCTCTTTCTTTGTGATGTTTTCAAGTTATGCTCAAATACATCCTTTTAAACATTTTACTGTGTATGACTGAAATGATGGTAAAAGCTCCGATCATACTGTAAATCAGAATGGGTTTAAATATGTTATTCTATAAATCTAAAAACTAAAGTAAAGTCACTGTTGACGCCTCATCGTGCGAATTCTAAGCAATCTTTAAAGATCCCCTCAACGCTCTTCAGCTTCCGACTCTCTCAAGGCAACATGTAAGAAGATTAACAGCTCATGGTGTCCCATCCTTCAACTTAATAAGACTGAAAGCTCTGCTCTGGCTCATATTTACTGTCTGTCAGTTAAAGTTGGTGCGTTGGAGACCACTTCATCAGCTGTAGTTCAAACTGTGCTCATCCAATGCACAGTGTCCCGGCAGTCCAGACAATACCAGATATTTGCTGAAAATGGGGTCAAAAGAGCGGATGTGAGGGAGGCGAGACAATAAGGACAGCAGAGGTGCCATTCTACAGTAGCTTGGAGAATGTCCTAGACTAGTGGGTTATTTTGAAATGCTGTTAAAAGAGCTAAGAGAAAAAAAGGGAAGCTCTCATTCTCTGCTCAGACCGTGTAGAACGTCTATCTGAGGGGCAGAGAGCAGGTTTACCCTCTGGGACAAAACACAATTCTCAAGGATCCATTCAGTGCACACATTCAAGGCTCGGAGAAAGGGGATTAAATTTCTTCTTCACACTCACAAAAGGAGGCCACTGTCCTGCTGAATCCAGCTTTTGTGTTCTGGCTTAGATTTAATGACTACCATGACTTTCTACATTAATGTGTTAAGTGAAATGGTAATTATGAAGACATCATTTACAGTCATTCATATTTTCCTGAGTTGTACACGTGAAGAACTGTAGGAAATACAATCCATACGTTCGACACAGAGGCAGGAAATTCTTGTTTTTCTGCTTTTGACACTGTTGTACACACTCTCCGTTTTAACCCACGGTGACTGTGTTAACTTGTAGGTTGTTATTCTCAGATTTTTCCACTGTGGCCAACAGATAGGTGAAAGGGTTACAGGGCGTGTAGGTCAAGTTAGACACCCTTGTGTAAATCATTACCATGCTTCATAGCTCATTGTTCCTTCAGCAGAATTGTCTGTGTGTGTGCCCTGCAGTGCCCCAGGAGGAGATGACCTGCCCTACGAGGTGCAGAGAGCCCAGGAGATCAACAGGATATTTGGGCCCAAAGGAAGCCCAGAGGCCTACGATGTTATCTTTGACCTCCACAACACAACGTCCAACATGGGCTGCACGCTGATTCTGGAGAGCTCCAAAGACCACTTCAATCTGCAGATGATGAACTACATCAAGGTAACGGCCTTGAGGAGCACATTTGAATTTCTTAAAACTTTACGGCACAAACACACCCCTGTGGGAGTATTCAGGCTGCAACATTAGCTGTTCTGTGGACTCTTTATGTGCAAAAAGGCCGAACCAGTGGGAAATGTCCCATAAATATGTTTTATGGCACATACAGTGCAGTGTGCTGTATGTTAAGAAGTATGCTTCTACACTTCCCAAAATGAGAGCTAGTGACACATAGCTTAAAAGTCAATGTTTTACCAATAGCTCTCTTTGGAAAGGTTCAGTTAATCTCTGTAAATAATATAATCATCAGTTTACCATTACGTGTTTGACAAACTCACCTAAAGAATAAACCACCCAAATAAGCCAGAGGGAGCTCTGAGGAGGAAACTGAGGAGTGACCTTCTTAATTTGTTTTATATACACCTGTAGAACATGTTCAGGGTGTCCATAAAGATAGTGCAGACAGTATTTCAACGTCTGAGAATCAGTTTTTAAGTAGCTTTATTACAAAAAACAAAAAGCTCACTTTGCTGACAATACATTAAATGCTCACCAATTTGTTATATATTAAATAATATAATATAA